ATTTATAAATTACCAAGTGTTCATGAGGGAAGGGGGAGTGGGGAGGGAGGGTAAAAAAATGAGGAGTTCATACCAAGGGCTCAAGTAGAAAGCAAATGTTTTGAGAATGATAGTGGCAACAAATGTACAAATGTGCTTGACACAATGGATGGATGGATGGATGGACTGTGATAAGAGTTGTACAGATGCCCAATAAAATGATTAAATACATTTTTTTTTTAAGTTTGAAATAGGGAATTTGGATCACAGAAAGGGGAGTTGCTGCATTGGGACAGGGAAACATGGTACTGGATAAGAGATGGTTTGGATCAGCGTAACCCAGAATAAAAGGAATCATTTTAGTAATGAGATAGGCATCAAATTGTACAGAAGACTTGAAGTTCCTTGTCACTAAATTCCATCCTCCCCAAGTGACTAGGCTACCCAGCATTGTAGAGTCCCAGGTAGTAGGTCTGGGCAGTCAAATTTTCAAGCCACATACGAATGTAGGCTCCAGGTGTTGATTACTGAGATTCAAAGGAAAGGAATTCTAGGAATTGTGACTTTAAGTCGCACCAAGGATACCAAGGAAATGCTAGAATCAGGCCCCAGAGATGGATTTTTTGCCCCTTGCCCAGTGAAGAATAATAAGGCAGGAAGCCAAGCTCCAGAAGCAAGCTTTATTAGAGAGAAAAGTACCTTGCAAGGGAAACATGGTAAGCTCTAAGCTAACACAGGACATGGTCTTGCCAAACAAGGGAAAAGGAGAGGTTTTGGAGAGAATTTGTAGAATTCTAGGATTGGGTCTATATGGGTAGGGCTGTGGATATTGGGTGCCCACGCAACAGGCACTGAAAATTGAAATCCAAGGTAAAGACTTCTAGGTAGGTTGTCACCACTGATTATAGAATGTTCTACATGCACCCGGTCATTAGTTTATCAGTTTCAAGTCCTCTGCCTGGCGGTATTTTTCTCTTGGGTTCAACTTGAGGTTATTGGTGTCTGGTGTGTATCTGCTCCTGTGACTAGTTTCAGCTGTTTAATTGTGTGAACACTTAAGAGGGAGGGTGCGGAACTGAAACATAATTCTTACAAGGGAAAAAAAAAATGCTTGCTTCTTAAAGTGAGAGAATGAAATTTAAAACAATGCAGGCTATTGTAATATGCTACAAGTTAAAATATTAACTGGATGTGGGATGTGATTGATCCCATATGTGTCGGCTTGGGGAAATTCTTCAAAGTTATATGAACTTAAAAAATGGTGGTGGAAGAATCCAACCTCATTTCGAATCTATCTCATGGCTATTTGGTGTTAGTGCTGTGGTTCAGTGCCAGCTAGTTGATTGTGACCCACTGCGACTCTGTGCACAACAGAGCAAAACACTGGCTGGTCCCGCACCGTTCTCACAATTATCCCCATGCTGGAAACCATTGTTGTAGCCACAGTATTTGTCCATTTCATTGCCCCTGCCCCTTTACTCTACCCAGCATGATGTGCTTCTCCAGGAATTGGTGTCTCCTGACACCAAGACTAAAGAATGTAAGAGTAAGTTTCACTATCCTGGCCTCTAAGGAACATTTTGCCTATGCTTCTTCCAAGACAGATTTGTCTGCTCTCCTGGCAGTCCAGGCTACTTTTAATATGTTCACAAGCCTCACAATTCAAATGCATCAATTTTTCTTTGGTCGTATTTATTCAGTGTCCAACTTTAACGCGTATATGAGACAATTGGAAATACTGTGGTTTGAGTCAGTGGCACCTTGGTCCTCAGAGTAACATCCTTACTTTTCAATACTCTAAAAATGTCTTGGGCAACAGATTTACCCAATACAATGCTTGACCTGTGACTACTGATTTCATGCAAATTGATTCTGGATCCAAGCAAGATGAAATCTTAGACCACTTCGATTTTTCCTCCATTTATCATGATGTTACCTACTGGTCCAATTTTTAGGGTTCTGGTCTTCTTTACATTGAGTTGTAATTTATAACCAAGGTGGCATTCCTTGACCTTCATCAGCAGGGCTTCAAGACCTCCTCACGTTCAGCAAGCAAGATTTTGTTATCTGCATATCACAAGTTGTTGATAAGCCTTCCTCCAATCCTGATGCCACATTCTTCATACAATCCAGTTTTTCTGCTTACTTGTTCAGCTAACAGATTGAATAAGCATTGTGAGAGGATACAACCCTGAACCACTCCTTTCCTGACTTTAGACCGTGCAGTATTCCCTTGTTCTGTTCTCACAACTGCCTCTGAATCCGTGTACAAGATCTGTGTAAGCACAATAAAGTATTCTGGAATTCCTATTATTCTCAAGGCTACTCATAGTTCATTTTGTTTTGTTTTGTTTTTTAATGATCCACAAAGTCAAATGCCTTGGCATTGTCAGCAAAACACAAGTAAATAACATTATCTTATTCTTTGTTTTCAGCCAAGATCAGCAATGATATCCTTGCTCCACAGCCTCTTCAGTATCTGGCTTGAACCTCTGTAGTTCCCTACCCGCGTACTGCTGCAACCATTGTTGGATGGTTTTTACTTTTTAATTGCATGTGATACTAATGATATTGTTCTATAATTTCAGCATTATGTTGCATCACCTTTCATTCTAATGAGTACAGAGATGGATCACTTCCAGTCAGTTGGGCAGTAGCTATCTTCCAGATTTCCCTGTTAATAGGGCTTTGTCAAAATCCACTGACAATCCCTCACCTGCCCCCGTCCACTGAGTTGATTCTGACTCATGGTGGTGTTGCCAGGTGAGATCCGGTTGGTTCTGACACATCCTGACCCTACGTGAAAAACAGACTGAACCACTGCCCAGCCCTGTGCCACTCTCACAATTGTTCTCATGTTTGAGCTCATTGGTGTAGCTATTGTGTCAATCCATCTTGTCGAGGGTCTTCCTTTTTTGTCATTGCTCCTCTAGTCTACCAAGCATGTTGTTCCTTTTCAAGGAACTGGCCTCCTGATAACATGTCCAAAGTATGTGAGATGAAGTCTCACCACCCTTGCCTCCGAGAAAAATTTGGCTGTACTTCTTCTAAGAGAGATTTGGATTTTCTTTTCTTTTCTTTT